TCCACGAGCCCCATCAGGATTTCTTTCACACAGCCACCAATGAACAGCATGTGTGTGTGTGTGTGTATCTGTGAGTGCGACACTCACACACACCTTCAGAGATAATTACCTTTGCTGCGACAGACGAGCTGGGCTTCTCCAGGAGATCCCAAAGTTTTTTCCTCTTCTCGGCGCAGCACGTGTTGTCAAACTCCTCCCCCTCCCGGTCTTTGAGGTTGTCCGCCTCCCTCTTCAGCTCCTCGTTCATCTGCTCCTTCTTCTGGTGGTACCTGGCCTGACAGCAGGACTCCAGGTAGATCTCGTCGATGCCCCAGTAGTCCAGCTCTTGACTGAACGACAGGGCGCACATCTCCTCCATCATGTGCAGCTTCCCCGTGCGGTAGAAGTTGAGGATGGAGGTGAACGCCCCCGGATGTCGGTCGAAGAAGAACTCGTTCTCCTCCAGGTTGTAGTCGTCGCACACTTCCATCAGGGTTTCGTGGTTATTGCAGTCCCTCAACTTCCCCAGGCGCGTCCTCGGTAGCCGGTCCAGCGTCCTCCACAGGACTTCGTGCGGGAGGCCCCCGACGTTCAGCCTGACTCTGCGGAAACACGTCCTGCTGCGGACGATGTCCACCGGCTCGGGCGGCAGCGAGGCCGTGGAACGGGAGCCGGTTTTATTGAACTCTGCCAAGGATTTCTCCATGTTGACTTTTTGAAAGGAGCAGGCAAACATCCAGAACTATGGACCGCAGCAGGTCCTGGTTTCTCCTATTACTGTGTGGAAAGACAGAAGGGTTTTATTATTGACTCTGACACTCGTGACGTCTGTACAAAAAACATTTTCTTCTTTGAGAGAATAGGTTTAAACATCGTCAGAGATCTAAAAAATAGCTCGGAAAATCTGAAATCAAATCAAAATATTATGGAACTTTAAAAGTTACTCGTCTGAATTGATGTATTTGTTCATCTTTGAAACACAGCGTGAGAGGAAAAATCACCAGTTGTTTCCTGTGTTGTCGCAGCAATATATATCGTATCGTTGCCCTTGTATTGTTGGTATTGTGATATGTATCGTGATACGTATCGTGATACGTATCGTATCGCCAGATTCTTGCCAATACACACCAGTATTCATCATGTACTGTAGATGCATACAATACTCTGGAGCAGTGGCTCCCAAACTTTTTTCTGCAGCGCCCCCTATTTTTAGATAGGACTAATGTTTACCCCCCCCCCAATGAAATCATTTTAATTCCTACAAAATCGATGTTCCTTTCCTGTAGGATGAATAAAAAAACATTAACTGCTCCTGTTTAAGTGAACACTTAAAGAACTAATGACTGAGATCATAGATCTGAAGTCGAAGATAAACAAACATCACTGCACTACAGCCATCATCACAGCTCAGTCATGACTTCAATACTTCACTGATTGGGTGCCTTTGAAGTACAGTACAGTACAGTACAGTACAGTACCTTTTAATGTAGTTAACTAGTTGGTGATCTTTTTGTTTTTTCCTCCTCCTCTGTTGATGGTACAGTGGTCTCTGACCCACAGGGGGGTGTGGACCGTAGGACGAACTAATTCAGCGCTGTCCACTCTCCTGGTGCTGAAACACCAGGAAACCGGGATCACTCCCTGAAAACATGGCGAGGTGAACACCCACAGCCACGTCTTCGCCTGACAACAGTCCGCTGATGTTTATGATCCGTTCGTCAACAAAACACGAGTTGCACGTTCTCTGTTCGTCCGTGGAGACGGTCGAGGCCTGAAGACATGAAATCACTGATCACCGAGGCTGGAACTTTCCTCTACGTCTATTTTAATGTCGTACAACCGCCCACACCGCACGGTGAACACAACTAATGTGGCCGAGGATGGAGCCAGTGATGTCGGCTGCGCCTCCTCAGCCAAAGCCTTTATGGAATCATGGAGCATTAAACGCATCACGGGAGACAAAACGGCACTTCCTCCTCCTGAACACTGCGCCAAACTGAACTTTGCAACAGGCACCCCGGAGCTCAGGTTGACGTCTGACGGTTCGAATCTGCAGCGTAGTGATGGCAAAATGTCATGCCGTTCAGAGGCTCCATGTTGGTGCAGGTTCGGGTCCGTTCATGTCACACCATTCACAGGTTCAACTCACAATCAAAGTGCAAAAAGGGGAGAAAGAAAAAAATGATATTAAAATGTAAATACCGTAGTAAATTGTTGTCATCGTGCACCGACTCAGACCGGTGCGTTCTGCTCTGTGGAGGATCAATCAGTCCGCTGGCACAAACCGAGATGTTGTTTTTTTTTTTTTTTTTCTTCTTGAGGAGGCGCCGTTATTGGTTTACTATTGCCAGGGTCTGAGCCAATCCATGGCCCCCTCCTCTGCCTCCGACATGGCAGAGAAATCTTCAGTCTAACTCCCCGCTCCGCCGCTCCTCATCCCGCGCCACCGTCGGAGCCTAAGGATCAACAAGTTCGACCATGGTCCACCTGGAGAAGATCGGTACCTGTGTTCCCTGTGGTCAGCGTCTGTGAGGAGCAGCAGGAGGATCCATCCTCAGCTCAGCTCAGCGCACTCTTCCACCACATCTGATTAACTCCTTCCGCACCGCGCCTCCCTGCATCAACAGACTGATGTCACGTCACCGCGGATGTTGTGTTGAAGCCGCGCCGCAGTTCTGAGCCCACGGTTCTGTGAACCTGATAGGACAGAGAGACAGAGAACATCCTGGAAACACTCGTCCAGCAGAACCTCCAGCCAGGATCCGACTCTGTGGCCAAGGAAAAAAAAAAACCAAAAAAACCAAAAAAAAAAAAAACATCTAGAACTTCGAGATAATTCATGCAGGAATTTTCAAAACAATAAACCACAGAGTCATATAAACACAACCCCGTCAGTTATTCTGAATCTCATCAGTGACACAGTTTCTCTGTTTTGTTTTTATCTTTCTTCTAAGTTGGTCACTTCTGCCTGTAAGCCAGGGGTCGCCAAACCTCTGGTTCGGGGACCGGTGCTGGTCCGTAGGTCATTTGGTACCGGTCTGCAGTAGTAGGTGTTTTTTTTTAAAGTAATACATCTAGTCATTTCTCCATATACCAGTAAAGAACATAAAAAAATACAAATGTTTTTACTTTTACATTTTGTTCCAAGTTCCATGTAATATGGAACTTGTTCCACGTTATCTGGAACTTCCTTAACGTGGAAATTGTTGTCAGTCAAAATATTCAAATATACCGACAACAGACAGACATCGTCCTGTCAGAGGGAGGTCAGTTCTGATCACGTCATCACTAGAAAGAAGAAGAAGAAAAAAAGACCAAATTATGAAACAGGAGTCAAAAAATAACAAGATCGACACGACCTTAAGGAATTGAACGTAAATGACACAGTTTCACGTGTGGTAACGTGGACAAACACAGACCCAACTGTCTTCATGTGTGTGTGTGTGTGTTTGTGTGTGTGTGTACTGTCGTATATTTAACCGTTTCATTTCTTTTTTCTACAGCTGACATCAACTTATCAAATCCAGCAGACGTGTGAACTTCTCGGTCGAAAAAATCAAACTCGACGCTTCGCCACCTCAGGTAGGAATCCTAGCACTGACCCAAGTACATACTGGAAACGCAGTAACACATATAAAAGTACTCAGTGGTATGTGAAAGTCCTACGTCCATAATAACTGAAGTTCAAGTAACAGAAATAATTTTTAAAATGGTCAGTAATTTGATGAATTCAGCCCTGAAAAAACAACTGTTGTCCTGGGTACAAAAAAATTCTCATAGTAAAAACAAAGGACAGTTTTTTTTTATTATTATTAAAAACATTAATTACAAAACACAAATATACATAAACAGACAAATACACTCAGTACAAACATCAGATTTAGGAGTTTTACATTCAATCAAATCATCGTGTCAAATTTCACGCGGCCTCCTCTTTAGACGATATCGGACCTGCAGGTCTCCGTCCGGCTGGAGTATTCCGAAGCCGTAGCGATTGGGATTAACCGGAGGGACGCTAGCCAACGGGTCGCACAGCTCCAGGTCCAGATGAGTCAGGAACAGGAAGACGAATCTGTGAACCCCAAGGAGAAACGACGTTAAAAACATGGCTGCTGGAGGCAATCCCAGCAGTCACCAGGTGAGGGCGCGGTGCACCCTTGACGGGTCAGCAATCCGTCACAAACAACCATCATACTCACACCTTTAATTACCCAGAGTTCCTGGATCACACAGAGACAGGCAAGAGCAAGAACCACTGTACCACCGTGTGACCACTAAATATTTGTCTTCTAGTACCTGTAGTATTTGTATGAATATTTTAGATATTTAGTCTTTGAAACAGGAAATGAAAACAAACAGTGAAATAAAAATAATAAAAATAACCACTGGGAAAAATACAAAAAAAAACATATATACATATAAAAATATATATATAAATATACATATAAATATATATATAAATATATATATTCTGTTTATATATGTATGTATAAATTGATATATCTGTACATATATGATTATATGTAGCTATATATAGTTATACATGCATACAAATATATTTACATACATATATTTAAATATATGTATGTAAATATATATAGTGTGTGTGTCTGTTATGCTTTTATAT